CACCATAACTCAGCCGAGGACACTCCCGAAGAGAAAGAGAATGGAGTAAAAGTAAGCCGGGAAGAAAATGTAGAAAGTGCGAGTACTTCAGCCTCAGAATCCAATACAAGTACTTCCACCGTTAGCAGAGTGCACCCCAATCCTGGCAGCACAGTAGTGACGCCCTCAGCTGTTCTTCCTGGATTAGCCCAGGTGATCACTGCAGTGTCTGCTCAGCAGAACTCCAACTTGGTCCCTAAAGTCTTAATCCCTGTTAACAGCATTCCTACCTACAATGCTGCCTTGGATAACAATCCCCTTCTACTCAGTACCTACAACAAATTCCCTTATCCTACAATGTCAGAAATTACAGTTCTTTCTGCTCAAGCAAAATATACAGAGGAACAGATCAAGATCTGGTTTTCAGCCCAACGTTTAAAGCATGGTGTTAGTTGGACTCCTGAAGAAGTGGAGGAGGCAAGGAGGAAACAATTCAATGGAACAGTACATACTGTACCTCAGACCATAACTGTAATTCCTACACACATTTCCACGGGGAATAATGGGTTACCGTCTATTTTACAGACATGCCAAATAGTTGGTCAGCCAGGTCTGGTCCTTACCCAAGTAGCTGGAACAAACACCTTGCCAGTAACGGCACCTATTGCCCTGACAGTGGCAGGTGTTCCAAATCAAACAAATGTACAGAAGAGCCAAGTACCTGCTGCTCAGCCTGCTACAGAGACAAAAGCAGCCACGGCAGCAGTTCCATCATCGCCAAGTGTCAGACCTGAAGCTGCACTAGTGAACCCAGATTCATTTGGTATTCGGGCCAAAAAGACGAAAGAACAGCTGGCAGAACTGAAAGTTAGCTATCTTAAAAACCAGTTTCCCCATGACTCAGAAATCATCAGGCTTATGAAAATCACAGGCCTTACCAAAGGCGAGATTAAAAAGTGGTTTAGTGATACAAGGTACAACCAGAGAAATTCAAAGAGTAATCAGTGCTTACATCTCAGTAACGACTCCTCTGCCACTATCATCATAGACTCCAGCGATGAAACCCCAGAGCCCCCAGCCGCAGTCACTTCACAGCAGAAACAATCCTGGAACGCCTTTCCTGACTTTGCTCCCCAGAAGTTTAAAGAGAAAACCGCAGAGCAACTTCGTGTCCTTCAGGCAAGTTTTCTCAACAGTTCTGTGCTTACGGATGAAGAATTAAATAGGTTAAGAGCACAAACCAAACTTACTAGAAGAGAAATTGATGCTTGGTTTACAGAGAAGAATAAAACAAAAGCTTTAAAGGAGGAGAAAAAAGAAATAGATGAAAGTAATGTCAGTAGTTCCAAAGAAGAACCTGGAGAAAGTTCTCCTGGAGATGAAGCAGTTGCACCTAAGTCAGGAGGTACAGGCAAGGTATGTAAGAAAACCCCGGAGCAGCTGCACATGCTTAAAAGTGCATTTGTCCGAACCCAGTGGCCATCAGCAGAAGAGTATGACAAATTGGCTGAAGAAAGTGGTCTTGCCAGAACAGACATAGTTAGTTGGTTTGGGGACACCCGTTATGCTTGGAAGAATGGAAACTTAAAATGGTACTACTACTATCAAAGCTCCAATTCAAGTAGTTTGAATGGTCTGTCTTCCCTTAGGAAAAGAGGGAGAGGCAGGCCGAAAGGACGGGGCAGAGGCAGACCACGTGGGAGGCCTAGAGGAGGCAAAAGAATGAACACCTGGGACAGGGTACCATCACTCATAAAGTTTAAAACTGGAACGGCAATACTTAAGGATTATTACCTGAAGCACAAATTTCTTAATGAGCAAGACCTTGATGAACTTGTCAACAGATCACACATGGGCTATGAGCAGGTCAGAGAGTGGTTTGCAGAAAGACAGAGAAGATCTGAGTTAGGTATAGAATTATTTGAGGAAAATGAAGAGGAAGAGGAAGTTATTGATGATCAGGAAGAAGATGAAGAAGAAACAGATGATAGTGACACTTGGGAACCCCCACGACATGTGAAACGGAAACTTTCTAAATCGGATGACTGAAATGTAAGTGTTTAGCCTTTGTATTCATCATCAGTCATGTGCATGTTTTAACAGCCACCTTATTGGTTCAGTCATCTTCACCTGTGTGTGTGGTGTACGTGTGTGTGTGTGTGTGTGTGTGTGTGTGTGTGTGTGTGTGTGTGTGTGTAGACCAGAGTCTTCCTCTTGCTCTCCACCATATATTTTTGGACAGCATCTCTCTCTGAACCTGGAGCTCACTGACTTAGCAATACTGTGTGGCCAGGGAGCTCTAAAAGCTCCAAGGTTCCACCTCTGTCTACATCTGCACCAGGAATACAGGTGTGCACTGCTGGCCATGGCTCTTACTAGGGTTCTCAGATCTGAACTCAGGTTCTGATGTTTTCATAAAAGTACTCTAGTGACCCAAGCCAAATCCCTATCCCTCATCTTCACTTTTACTAATTTTTTTCTAAAACTTCTTTTTCCTAATAAGAGGACCAGGTGCCACTAGTCATGACATGTATATTGTGATATGTAGCTTGACAATTGTAATACTCAGGTTTTAATGTCTTAATGTCCCTTTAATTATTTATTTTTCATACAGAATGCTTTAGTTTGTTTTAAAGGAAAGTAAAAAGGGGATGGGAAACAAACACTAAAGATAATAAAAGTATTTCTTATAACCTTCTCTCTACTAATGCTTCATTTTTGCCCGTGTAAGAAAACAGTTCAGAAACAAAGTTAAAAAGGACAGGTATGCTGAAGGGAGAGATTAGAAGCACAAGGACAGATGGGTTCTAGAAAACCTAAATCAAAGGAGATACCTTTTTTTTTTTTTTTTAAAGATTTATTTTATTTATTATGGATACAGAAGAGGGCACCAGATCTCATTACAGAGGGTTGTGAGCCACCATGTGGTTGCTGGGAATTGAACTGAGGACCTCTGGAAGAGCAGTCAGTGCTCTTAACCTCTGAGCCATCTCTCCAGCCCCAAAGGAGATACTTTTTTCTCCATTGTTGTTCCCCAAAACGTTATCAGACTTTCAGCTAGAGTTTTAAGATTCATTATGCACTCAGTATCTCTTTCTGCTAAAAGACAAAGGCCTTTTCTAGGTCCTGTGTAAACTCCTGTGGGCTTAGGTGGCATCTGTTTTTGAGCAGCCACAATATAAATTCTTCGGTATAAAGATTGAAAGTCAGATAACAGATCTGATATTTGATATAAATTAACTCAGTCCCAAAATATCTATAAGTGCTATGTTTGGTTAGAAAAATTAAATTTCCTGCGGGATGTAGCTCCATATTCCTATAATCCTAACATTAAGAAACTGAGTCAGGAGGAGTTCAAGTTTGAGGCTAGCCTGGGCTTATAGCAAGACCCTCTCTTAAAGCGATATAAAATCTCTGTAGTGTTTCTTAAAAGTGCAAACAAATATAACTTAAATTTGAAAAGTTTTGGCATGTTCCTTCATAGATTATAGATTAAATTAAAAATGTACTGTAGCTGCAAGCAGTTACCTGAAGTTAGGTCTTCAATTCTTTCATTTAAGTTTCCCATACTGGAGGTTGAACTAGGGGACTGTTCATCCTAGGCCAGCACTCTACAACTAAGCTACATTCTCAGCCAGGGACTTCAGTTCTTTATTCTTGTGGAATTCAAGAACATCGTTTTATTCTTTTCTGTTCTTTGTTTTGGGAGTATTCCAGAATAAAAGCACACTGTTTTGAAAACAATGTAGTTGTCATGAAATGCTTGTGTTTGTCTCTCTGTAGCTCAAATAGCGTCTTGTCAGAAATTACTGTAGCATTCTCAAACACTGAGGGAGGAAAGGAAGCACAGACTTCATTTTGTACATGAGCATAGTTACTTACTTCCTCTCTAACACACTTGTATGCTCTCTTATTCTACACAGTATTTCCTTAGTCCTCGAGTGGCATCTTCCTGGTTTGTTTATTTTAGCAATTATTTATAGAGACCTTAATAAAGGCTGCACACTAGTCTTACTCATTAACAGTTCTTTCTCCAGCTTTCTTCTCACTAACATTAAGACAGAAAGTCAGATGAGCTGAAGCCCCACTGACTTACATCAGCAGTGTAAGTCTCATTGCTGGCCCTAGAGTATGGTGTCATCATTTTAAGTCACAAGAAGCTCCAGAGTTTTGTAGCATTATCCTGAAATCCAGCCCTCCGCATCTTCGTGTCAAAAGACTTCAGGACAGGCTTTGTTCTGACCCAGATACATAAAATATTTGTAACAGGCTTTATTTTTTTTATTGCTAAACACAAAAATGTGTACTCAGCCAAGATTAAATCAGCAAATTTGTTGCTGCAGTGAATTGTTGTTGCAGACTTTGCAGTCATTTTCTGGGGAGTTGTAATTTTCTAAAAATAGGTGAACTTTTCCATACAGTTTACTTCAGTGATATAATAACATGGTTACAGATACTGATTATGGTCATACAAGTCCCATGAAACCTTTTTTTCAAAAGTTTACATTGTATGTGGCCTATGTATCCTTTGCTCCTAAATACAAAGAGAGCAGGGCTGGGAAAGTGGGTGGGTCAGTGGGTAAAGTGTTTTCCTGAGTTCAGACTCCCAGCACCCACCCATCTCCAGGTGCAGTCCCTGGCCCTTGTAACTCCAGCACTTAGGTGAGAGGGTGCAGAAAGGAGTCAATGGAGCTCACTGGCCAGCCGGGGTGGCTGAATCAGAGCTCTGCTGGCTTTCCTGAGAGAGCTTCTCTCTGAAACTAAGGTGAAAAGCAGCTGAGGAACACCCGACACCTACCAATGGCTGGCACGTGTGTGTGAGGCATGTGCACGGCCCCCCACATGAACATGTGCACAGCATACATCCTATATACACAACTTAAGAAATACTTGGAAATCTAAAATTATAAAACACATTAATTAGCATGTTACAATATTTAACAAAATAATTTTCACTTACCAAAGTATTCAGCATAGGTTTCCTCTTAAAAATTATATTTAAATATAGTTCAACTTATGAAAATACTTGCCTGAACCTTCCCAAAATAGGGAAAGCCACAGAAGACAGGTACAAAAATAATTCCTCTTTTACAATCCAGAACTCATTGTTCAATATGAACTTTGATAAACACACAAAGGAATATGATAAAAAAGATACTGCAGAACATGAAATATATATATAATCACATGCTAGTCTTGTGTACAAGTGGAAATACTATAGGTCTTTAGATTTCATGTTGCAAATACTGACAATAAAATATCTTCCTACTAATAATTTTATAAGTGATTACAGAAAGGCGTCTGTCTAACAGCAAATGTGGCACATGAAGAACACACACATGGTTTACACACACTGCACTGTGAGGTGTGTGTGGTAGGTGATCTCACTGGGAAAGAGAATGCAGAATGTATTTGTGGCTAACTGGCTATTTTTATTCTAAAGGCAAAAATTAAAATACGGCTATCTTTAAAGTTTCAGGGTTTTGTTTTTTGTTGTTGTTGTTTTTCTTTTATAGCTACTTAAATTCTGAAGGAGAATAAGTTCTTCAACTCAAGATGTCTGAATTACTGTGAATGGGCCCAATCCTTGATGACACTGAAAATGCTTTGGGGCATACATACTCTCAAAACCGGATCCAATGTCCAAAAGAAATGGAACTTGATGTTGTGCCAAAGTCAACCTGCTGCAGTTGGGGGAAGTTCTGCAATGTAAATAGAGCGCTAATTAAAAACAACTTGTAAAAAGTGAAACTTTAATACAGTACATTTTTATTCTGGTAGGATGGAAACTTTGTGAATCTTTGACTTTCTAAGGGGTTAATGACCACTAGAGCTTGTCCTCAATTTCAGGCCAGCCTACAGCTGTGTAAGGTAAGGCCGCATTGCCTGTTTTCTTTGACATGTGAATAAGCTTCCAGCTTTGAGTGACCAAACAGTTTTCAGAGTAAAAGTTCTTAGAAATGGGAGGGGAACCAAACCCTAATTTACTTCTGTGTCTTATTTATCAGGTCCTACACCAAAATTAAAAGTGTACACAGGCTTACACAGTTTGTAGTGTAAAAGCAGCCTGTGTGTATTATGTTGGAACAGGAAGACTTGCTGGCCTTCATGACTGGACCCTCCACTAAACACTCAGATAAACCACTGTTGCCACTGCAGTCCTTGTGTGACTGACTGCTCTTTGTCAGAATCTGCCTGAAGATAGTACCCCACAGGGAAAAAAAGTTTACTGGGGAGAAACTCCAAACACTGTTCCAAACATGTGGAACAGTCCCACAGTAAATACATGCAGTGCATTCTCACAGGCATGGGGATCAAATGGGGAGAAACTCCAAACACTGTTCCAAGCATGTGGAACAGCCCCACAGTAAATACATGCAGTGTGTTCTCACAGGCGTTGGAATCAGGAACATCAGACAGACTCAGGTCAGATTCTGCAAGGTTATCTTTTCATGGAATTCTACCTTGTGTAACAGTTCCAGTGAACAGAGAAAAACAATTCTGAACTGATCCTAATGAGTTAAAAATGAGCTTTTCATGTAAGAATCGGAGGCAGGGGGTGTTAACAGTGACTGCTGTATACAAGACTCGGTTCCTACTGACTTGTGATTAAAGACTGGTGCTGCCATTCGTGTTGGAAAGGACCCTTTCTTTTGTAATCATAGGACCACTTTTCAAAATGTGCTTTCCTCACAGAACAAATTTTCAGTTTAATTAGATTTGGACTTAAATTCTTTTTTTCAATGATCATGTGTAGTAGGTTTGGCCAGTTTGTTTTCTAATTTAATGAATAATAAATACTAAGCTCTTGGTTAAATGTTCATCAGTTAATGAAACTGTTATGAAAAAGCCTTGAATATGCATGCTGCTTTCATTTTTATAAGCTTTTTATTTTTTAACTATAGCTTTATTAGCAATTCCCAAATGCTGCAATTTGCTGATTTCTTCACTCAGACAGCTGGCTTTGTGGGTGGCTTTTTTCATACTACTGTTAACTTTTTTAAAAAAGAAGTGATGTAAAGACTGTAACAATTGAATGCACTAAGCTGTTTTTCTTTTACATATCTAAAATCTTCTTTAAATACTCTGTATTATAATGATTAAATTGCTCCCTTTTTAAAACCATTGCTAATGTGGTCTGAGTTTTATTTGACAGTAATTTCTATGTTCTCAAAATCCAGTCCTTAAACTGTCAAGGATTGAAGATGAAGGATTTGAATATATTTACATCATGTTTCCTTTGTGCTATGCTAACTTTGTATAGCTGCAAGTAACTCCGTGGTTTCCCATCTCTTTGGCAGGCTGGATGAGAGTCTGCTCTGATGTCTGCTAGCTTTTAAATACACTTATTTGACAGTGCAAAAGAACCTTTCTTTCCTGGTTGACTATGTTCTTGCATACAAAATAAAAGTTAGCAGTAATAAGCAAATTTGAGTGATTTTTTTCTATTTTATTAACCCAGCTTTTTAAAAATGGTGAATTTACATAGAATTTGCTATTATAATTTTAAGTGTACAGTTTAATGGCACTAAATTATATTCACAATATTACACAACCATCACTGTTATTTCCAAAACCTTTTCATCACCCCATACAGAGATTTGTAACCATTAAGCAATAACTCCACATCCTCAGCTCCTGGTAACCTCTGCTCTACTTCCTGCTCTATGAATTTGCCTACGCTTGATATTTCAAGTGAGTAGAAATACACAGGTTTTCTTTCTGTGTCTGGCTTATTCCCCTTGGCATAATATTTTCAAGGCCAGCCATGTTGTGACATATATCATAACATTCCCTTTTGATGGCTGAATAATAAATAGTTCATTGTGCACTAATTTTTGGCTATCCTCTCATCTATTGATGGGCACTTGGGTTGTTTCTGCCTTCAGGTTATTATGAATAATGTTGCAATGAACTCTGGCTTGTGAGTTTCTGTTTGAGTCCCTGTTTTCAGTTCTTTAGGTATACAGTTTGGAGTAGTACTCTGAATTGTATGATAAATTCTGTACTTAATTTTTTTTAAGAAAAAAATTAAGTTCATTCCAGACTGGTCTCCAACTCATTGCATTGCTCAGGCTGGCTTGGAACCCACAATCCTATTGTTTCCTCATTTTGAGTGCTGGGGTTACAGGAGTGTGCCACCACACCTAGCATTATATCTGCTTAACTTTTAAGGTATCACCAAGTCATTTACACAGGGTCAAAATGTTTTTCCCAGCATCTTAAGCATTTCACATATCACCAGCAATGTAGACGGGGTCTACTTTCTCACATCTTTTCCAACACCTTTTACTTTCAGTCGTTAAAAGTATTATTATGTAGTCAACATGAGGTAGGGAACAAAATGATAGTCATCTTGGATGTGAAGTGTATCATTGTGATTTTGATGGGCATTTCCATAGTGACACCATCTTTTCATGTGGTGACAACCACTTGTATACCTTTTTTGGTAAATGTCTGTTCAAGTCCTTTGCTCAATTTTTAATTGGGTTACCCTTTTGTTGTTGAGTTCTAGAAATACTTTGTATAATCTGGATGTTACAGTCTTACCTGAGATAGTTTGCAAATATAGCCAATCCTCATTAATTGTGGATTCTGTATACGAAAATACTCCTACTTATTAAAATTTATTTGCAAACCCCAACTCAAAACTCAGTGCACATGTGTGGCTCTTCTTCTATGTGCATAGAAATAGCAAAACATTTGAGTTGTCTATGAGCACATTCCCAGCTGAGGTCAGCTAGGTGGCATTCAACTCTCCTAATGCAAAGGAACAGCCTGTTTTGCAATGTAGTGTTATGTTTAGTATTTTTGTGCTTTTTGCCGGTGATTTCATGGTTTAAAGTAATTCCCAAATGTAATGCTGGAGTGCTGCCTAGTAAATGCAGTGAGTCTGCCTTGTGCCACGTGGAGTAATGCGTGCTAGCTGAGCTTCATTTCAGTGGAAGCTCAATGCTGCTAGCCGTTAATTCAGTGTTAATTAATTGATAGTGTATGTTAACTAGGGTGCCTTTAAACAGAAACACCTACAGCAAGTTTAGGAATTGATTGATGAAAATCTGGAAGGGCCAGAAGCTTGTATTTTGTTTTTCTGGTTTGTTTTTTTTTTTTTTGAAACAGTGTCTCCTGTAGCCCAGGCTGGCTTTCAACTTACTGCATAGCTAAGGATGATTTGAATTTTTGATCTTCCTTGCCCCCACTTTTCAAGTTCTGGATTCAAGGCATGTATCACCACATCTTGTTCAGTATTTTCTTTTAAGATTTATTTTTATGAATTTTTTATTATGTGTACGTATGTCTGTGTGGGTGTGCACACACTAGTGCAGGTGCTCTAGGAGGTCAGAGGCATTAGATTTCCTGGAGGTGGAGTTACAGGCAGTTGTGGGTACTGGGAATTGAACTCAAGTTGTCTGAAGAGCAGTACATGCTGTTAACTGCTGGGCCATCTCTCCCCTATTCAGTAATTCTAATGTGCTTTTGTGGAACATAACCATTGAAAATAATGAGAATTGGTTGTAATTTTCCCATTGTGTTGGGTTTTATTTTCATTTTATTGGTAATGCACAAATTTTAAATTTTTATGAGTCTCATTTTCAATTTCTTATTATTGCTTATGCTTTTAGTGTCATGTTTAAAAGCCAGTGTTAATCCATATATTTTTTCTTAAGTGTTTTGTTTATTTAGGTTCTTAAACTATTTCTAGTTAGTTTTGTGTATGGTATGGAGTAATGTGTCCAACTCCACTTTTTTCCTTAAAAAATTAAAACATATAAAACAAATGGCTTTTATTATGACACTCTCTTATTCATTTATTTGTTTGTCCAGTGCACACATTGGTGCGTGTATAGAGGTCAGAGGACACCTCTCAGGATCCAGTTCTCTCCTTGCACTCTGTGGGTCCCGAAGGCTGAACTCCAGCAGTCAGCCTTGGCAGCAAGCGCCTTTTTCAGTAGAACCATCTCGCCTGCCCCATTGTGACATTTCCATATACATCTGTCATTATACCTTGCTCCTATTTGTCCACCACTCATACTTCTCCACTACTTTCAGGACCTCCCCCCGCCCCACAATCCCTTTTCTCTTTCCGTGTCACATAGATATTTAAATCTACATTTCACATCAGAGACAAAAATGGTATTTGTGTT